GCTTCTTCAACCCATGAGAAGACTGCAGTGAGAGTGGCAGTGGCCATCATTGGTTATTAGTTTCTTTACAAGCATCCATCCCATCCAGCCAGGGATGCGATCTGTTTTCCCTGACGGAGCAGAGGAGGAAGCGAATTGGGGAAGAAATAGAGTGGTTGAGGGAACAGATGGGAACAGGAGATAGGCATGTTTTCCATAGCTGGCATGGCCTTCTTGCAATGAGTCCTGGTTTCAGGGTATGTTACGTATGTTATGTTTGTTTGGACTCCAAAAGATTCGGTTGAAGGTTTCTTTTGAGGACACAAAACATTTTTTGGGGGGCTTGATCGGCTTCGTACATTTTGCTCATTTTCGTAGCTGACATGTCCTTCTTGCAATGGGTGCCAGGTTCAGGTATGTTTGTTTGGAGTCTGTTCGTGCAAGCCGACGAAGCCAAACCTCATTGAAGCGACCTCGGTAGACACAGCCTAGTTTTGAGTGTACGCGCTGTGTGTGCATTTAAGGCTGCGACAGACCCCACTGGATCTTGAGAAAGCTTCGGCCGCTGTGGCCACGTTATGGCGCGCCCGAGGGCTGCCTACTCGAGACCGCTGTGGTCACCTAATGATAATGGTTTGCTCGAAAGCTGCCTACTCAGATTCAATAATTCAGCAAGTCTTGGCAAATAGCTTTGGCTTAAACCTCCTGCTGTCCGCTATGGACACGTACGTTTCCGGGCAGTGGAAACAGAGACAAACCCCCGTTCAATGGGGCCACAGGGGACACTCCTTGGGTTCACCCTGGGCTCTCACTAAGGAGAGACACACTTGAGATAATGCGTGCTGACACGATTGCGGCTTGCCACACGCCAACCTAAGTGAAAAACCAAAGAAGTCAGGTAATATGAACCCTGACAGAAGAAAGTGGAGAGGAGTCCAACCATGTGCCACATCGCAACCAAAGCTCCCCAGCCCTATGCGTGACTGCGGATGCAGAGCTCAAGCCGATGCAAAGGCCAGCAATTTGTTCTAGTAACAAAGGGGCCCATGAGGAAGTAAGTGGTAATCTCAGCAGGTACGTCTGGCTGATCAGACCAGATATCAGCATGGAGTTTGACCTTCTTCGATCACCTGTCAAGTCCGTGGGTGACCCCCCTGCATCCTATAAGTGCAAAATGCGAACGAGGAACAAGTCAAAGATTCGATGTGATTCTAAGGGGTTCTCACACACACACACACCTTGCACCTTCTGACCACACTTTGCCTGCTGTGCGACCCATTTTGGCGGAGTCCGAGGTTCAAAATCATGCGCGACCTGGAGCCCTCGGAGGGCGCTGAAATGAGTGCCTCGACTGAGAAAGTCTTCTTCGTGCGAAACATGTCAGCTGGGCTGAAAACCATCCGGCGCAGCGCAGAAGACAAAGCGAACAGACCCAGATGGTGTGGGCGGATAGGTATTGGACCAGTTTGGCTTTCTCTCGGGCTGGGACTGGTCAATCTTCTCATGCTGCGACTTGTCACATGCCCATGCCTTTCAGTAAAGGGCCAACAACTTATTATTATAGTAAAGGGCTAAAGTAAAGTAATGTCAATGCCCGATACACCCCCTGAACCCGACCTCAGTCCTGCAATGTTCACAGCCTCGGTGTGTTACTTACTAGATTGGCCATCTCCACTGCCAGGTGATTGGCTGATCGGTCTGAGCTCTGGAATTGACTGGGAACGTTTGTGTGGAAACTAACCTTACACATTATGTGATGCACTATTAAATTGGATTTTGTTTGTTGATGGAAACCCACAGGTATGCATTTGCTCTAAAGAGGCATGAAACCATTGGGTCGGCTGCCGTGCAAAAGGTGAGCTCACAGCTGCCCTAAGAGTTCCCCAAGTTTCCCTCACCACGATTCTGAAGAAATTGCATTTTTTTTTTGTGAAGCAGGTTCACAATTGTTCCAAAATCACCAACCCTGCCTGGAGTTGTTCATTCCAGGGGCTTTGAATGTGTCGGCTATGAGAGATGGTGGAGTTGGTTCCTGGGCTCCCACTGGAGTTCCCACCCGCTGCCTTAAGCGATTTCAGGGTCATGTCCAAGCTGGATCCATAAATCAGCCAGTTCAACCTTTTGAGCTGCCGAGGTGGAGGCTTTGCACTTCAAGGACGGTTCTCCGGATGTTGTGAAGAGTGCGGGGGTGTGGGTGAAGAGAGAATGTATCCATGACCTCCATGACCATGGCAGCTGATGATATACTTTTTCAATAACCTGGGCAAGTGCAAACCGGACATGGTGGGTTTATCATTGTCTATTTTTAATGACCATGGCCGAAGATGTGGGTCTTTGACGAACACACAAGTCTGCACCTGGTAGACATGGTCTTGAAGGATTGGGTACTCAGATCAACTCCCAGACTCTTTCAAACCCTTTTCAACGTGGACAGCACTCAGACACGATTCTGTTGAGCTTCCATTGAGCAGCGTGCAGTACAAAACTGGTTGAACCTTTTCTTCACAGTGGAGCTGTCCTGTGGGCCCCTCCGAAGATGATGAACACATAGACATAGACCAAAGAAGCAAGGGATGTTTTTTTCCGCCAAGTGGAGTTTGGATCCGGTCAGTGGAGTCTGGGGTGCGGCTCTTCTCTTGGATCGACCTTGCAGTTTGACCAAGGCTGAGAAATCCTGGCTGAACTTGTGTGGTTGTTCGTTTGGGAACTGATCGAATTTAAGTCTTGCACAAATGAAAGATAAGGATGCATAACACTTTATAGTGTCAATCATTTCCTGTACAAAGACCATGCTGCTCCACGACGAAATGAAGTAGCAGCATCAGGAGCAGTATTTCCATGTATTTCACATGAGTCTTGTCATCAGAAAACCATTAATATAGTTTAATATCCTTCAATAAACACCACTCTCCATGAACTTCTGGACAGGAGAGCAAGCCTCAGCTGATGCGCCTGCACAGGTCGCTTGTTGAACATCTTTATTTTGGGGAGGGCCGGACACCTCCAAACTGCAGACACGAACATCGAGGGGATGAAAAGCCGTGGGATGCGGGGATGAACATCGAAAACGTAGGGCCACCTGCCCAGGTCTCGGGCTTGGGGGGGAAAACAGCACAAGGCGAGGCACTTGTTACTTGTGTCGTCACAAGTACTATCATATCCCAGGTTCCTCGTCGTCAGTCAGACACAAAAGCCGCCCCAAAAGTTGAACTTCTTGTTACTACTAGCTTCTTGTTACTACTAGTAAGGCACCTGTTACTACTAGCGTGGCACTTGTTACTACTGACTTATTTTGTCACAATGCCTAAGCTGCTTTTGGTCTTCACGGTCTTAGGACCCTTCCAGCGATCTGGGCGGCCAAGGCCAGTGCCTTTACGCCCTTCACAGGCTCAGGAAGCCGTTTGGGCCTGCGCACCCAGAGCAGCACAGCGGGAAAAGCCGGATGGTCTCGGAGAGTCTGGGGAGCTGGCCTCCGAACTCATCGGTTTGTTGACATTGTCTCAAAAGAATCCATCTGACAAATGCAGACTGCCTGACTGGCTGACTGGCTGACTGAGTGACTGACTGCCAAGCTGAACCGTGGGATGCTTTTGCTCGAACTTGTTGGTTTTCGGAGCACTCTCTCTCTCTCTCTGTGTTGGTTTTGAGGTTTATTGAGCATACTTGACAGGAAGTACTCGTACTTGAAGGCGGTACTTGCTTGTATTATGGCCCCGTTGGTTTGTTTCAAGGGCAACGCCTTGCTTAGAAAGGGGTATTTATTGGCTTCCATGGCAACAGTGGGGGCATTATTGGACAGCTTGGAAGCAACTTGGTTGATGTGTTGTTTCCCTCTCATGACTTCATAGGCTGTTGATGTTCAGGCCACGCTTCAACCTTTGCAAACAAGCAGTCACTCCCAACTTGGACTTTCGCAGTTGGATGTTCATGAAACTTCAAGCTAAAGTCTGATCTTGCATTTCTCAGGTGGCTGAAGAAGCTTTCTGCCAATGTGCGAAAAGGGGCAGTTGCAGACCGTGCATCCAACCCGATCCGTTTGTGGAGCACGTAAGACTTAGCAGCAACTGGAGACAGTTCTGCAAATGGCATCATATGGCATACGCATTGCCTGCGTTTTAGCTTGACCTAGACTTCATTGTGCGTACAGCAAAGTGAACAAGCTGGAATGTTTGGGAATATCAATTCAACCTCCATATTGATGCTCACAATATAACATAAAACATAATTTAACTATATTACATTATTATTCCTTATGATTGGAACAATTGCCAGTCGGCCCAAAGCATCAGCAACGTATCATCCAAAGTCATCCAAAATCAATATTCTGTTTGACTTGGAACAAGAAGTTACTAGGAACAAGTGCATCGCTTCTAGTAACAAGTGCCTTACTACTAGTAACAAGAAGCTATTAGTAACAAGAAGCTACTAGGAACAGTGTTTGACTGGTGTGCGTATGGACTGAGCTCAAACGGCCCTAGGCGACCACGGATTGACATCACTCTTCGGTTTAAACATGGTGAGTCACTCACCAAAGTGTTGGGAAGACGGTCATCGGAGGCCTTGGGCCAAACCCATCTCCGAAAGAGAACCATTTAACCGTGGCTGGGTTCCAACCAAGGCCTTCAGTTCGTGACCTCTCTGAAGTCTCGAAATTGCCTCCCTGTGAGCCCCTTTTGACCCTTTGTTGTGTTTTCTATGATCCCGGACAACGATACAATTTACTTAACCTCAAATCCTGGAATCTCAAGGAGAATCACTGACAACAATTTCCTGGAAAGGTCCTCCAAGCCACCATCCAAACATATCCAAGCCATGTTTTCTGGTCGTTTCTCCCAGCCATTTCACCTCCTCAGACGCTTGAACCCACGCGCCGATGGGCGTCCGATGAAGCACGAGCCATGAACGTGACCATCTCAGGCACAGGACTTCGGTCCTGGACTAGCTTTCCACATGTTCGACGGGATCTACGAACTATCTATTTGGGGACCACTGAGCGCTGGTTTGGTGCAACCCATTTTGTTCCTGGAAGGACCTAGGACGATTAGCTCATAGATGAAGTGCGCCTCATCATGTCTCAAGGTGACACATTCCAAATTCATGCCACCCATGGCCACCCCTTGTTTTATTTTCCCGCATGTCAGCACCTCATAGCCCTCACGCAGGCGATCTGGGCCTTTTCTCCTTTGTGGATGTCGATCCCTCCCTGTCCGTGCATGCGTTGCGCGCAAAGCTGGCGGCGGACGCAGCTGCAGTGGCCGCGCAGCTGCTCCTGTCGTGTGGAGGGCGGCCGCTTGTAGGGTCAGTGGCTTGGAATGTGAGGATGTTGTGGTCAGTGGTGGGAGAAGTAGGGTGTTGAGTGTTACTGATACTGCTCGGGGATGACTTTTTGATGCAGAGGATTGCTGATCAAAACAAGTCATACTATGTAGCTGCCGATTTTGCCCTGGAGTGCTCGCACCCAGGTGGGTTGGCTCGGATTTCACAGATTTGTTCGGCCATGCCCGATGCAGGTCAAATGTCCCAATGATACACACCCAGAACAGAAGGAACGGCAGAGGCCTTTTTCGGATGTTCACAGTTTGTGTTTGAACCACAAAAGACTCTCAGACACACTGGGACACACACACACACAGTCAGGATGTTTTGGAGCTTTGTCCGGTGCCTGGTTCAGGCCACTTCATTGGGTTTTTATTCTGTCACACAGGTCTTCCCCAACATATTGTACACAGTTGATTGTTGATCAGGCATGTACTTGGACTGGTGACATATCGGCACTTCGGGTCAACCTAAGGACTCCTCAAAAGAGCTTCCAAAGCCACCCCCCAAAAAGCCCAACCGACGGATTCTGCCCGGGACCCGTGCGTTCGCCCGGGGCGCTGAGAACGGGCGAAAGGGGCTGAGGAGATCCTGAGAGATCTGTCTCCCAACGACTCATCGTGCGGCTCGAGCCGCGTGCTGCACCTGGAGCTCACCAGCTATGCCGAGCTGATCCCGGGGGCTGCGCCGTTGCGGATTTGGGAGACTGAATGCCGGGGCATTCGCTTGCAACAGCTGGAGGAACTCATCGACTTCTTGTTAAAGAGGTGGGAGATGTGGGTGGGTCGACTGGAGGAGTTGGGTCGTTTGGAGGCACATGTTCCATACATGTTCATACCACGTGCTGTGGCGCTAACCACGTGCTGTTGACCAGCTGCCATGCCGTGGCACACTTCAAAGAGCTGAGATCCACCAGTCACTGACGGCTCACCTGGCGATCCAGTGCAGATTGTGTCAGGAGTCCTTCCACTCTTCAGATTCTTCATTCCTTCTCTTCTTGCGCCAGTGCACTGTTGATATGAAGACGAGCATGTCGCCAGTCATACAATAAGCTTCCTGTTTTGAGATAGGGATTCTTTTTGAATGATTTGCGGCACGATTTGTAGTCAGCAGGGTGGGCTACATGTTGAATTCACTGACCTTATTCAGGTGGCCATGGGAAACTGACTCCATTCAGCAACAGATTGATTGATGTTGTATCGTTTATTCATGTCATGATGCTTATATATCTGGATTTTCTTCAACAATCTCCAAATAGACAGCATGAGCATATTATGTAACATTATATGACGTATTTTAAATTTGCACTTATGACTTGCAATGGTCATGTGATTTTTCCCAGGACACTTACACCCATAGAGCCTTTTACCAGGGTTTGACCAAACAACGTACTTCCAGAACTTCCAACCTCTTCTCCGATCACCCTGGGAACCACCGACCCATACGCGAGCGTCTTCACGGTTCCGGTCCGTCCCAGCGGGTGTGAGGTGTGTCGCGCGCGACGCGACTGGTGAGTCGATCGCCCTCCAGGCGTCGAAAGGGCCGCGCCGCTGCCGCGGGTTTCGCGCGGTGCGAACGGTTGTTCAACCGTCCCGACGTGGGATGAAAGCTCCTACAGCGCGGTAAATACTAAAAGCATCTAAAAGCAAGACCAGATCAGAATTGTGGTATTTTTGTTTGAGTTCCTGTTCGAGTTGTGTTTATACCGTATTTCGAACACTCTCTCCCAACGCAGGAAAAAGCCCAGAATTCTTCCAACCTCAGATGTGATACGTCTATATAATCATTATGTTGTCCGGCCTTCAGATTCATCCCATGTTTATTTGCAGATTGGTCCCTACCAGGGTGCCCGGTTTACGGTGGTTAACGGAGATCCCGAGTCAGCTACTTTCGGGGTTACTAGTAGACACCGCATGGTGCAGGGGGCCCTTGTAACCCCTGGTACAAATCCAATTCGTGCAGGCTTTCTTTGATGCTTGCAACATGTGTACACTCCGACTGCTTAACATGGGACGTGGAAACCTTGCCACCTGTTGGATATTCGGTCACGGGGCCGTGATCCTTACCAGGCCATGCCATCTAGGTAACTCAAGTAACCATGATGTTAACTACTTCTAAGTAACAAGAAGCTATATGATCTTGTTTCTAATAGCTTCTTTTTACTACTAGTAAGGCACTTGTTACTAGAAGCGATGCACTTGTTCCTAGTAGCATATGGTTTTTTCCAGGGAGTGTCAATGTGAGACGTGACCGGTTTTCACGGAGAGGCCATCCGGTCGGGGGAACGAAGGGTGTCTGACATCTGACCACCGCAAGTGTCAGCTGCGCTGCGCTGGGCCAGTTCTTTTTTCTCATTTGCTTTGCGACTGCACTGCTGAACAGAATCAGTGAGGATGGAGTTCCCCTCACCCCAAAAAACTCGAATGAATTTGGAGCCAGACTGCCACTTGAGGTAGCTTCGCCTAAGAGTTCTGTAGTTTCAAACATCGCCCAGACCGGACGACTGAAGCGTCAGGACTTGAACCTTTACCACTTGGCGGACTGGGTCATTTGCCCTGCCACCTCATTTGATCGTGTCAGCTACGTGGAACTCGTGAGCACGTGCCTGGAAGCCCAGCGGCCCAGGTGGTTCGTGTCTCACGCGTGGTGCCTCGGCCAGATGCGGCATATGCGCCCCTTTGTTTCGGTGCCAGTGGCGAAGCAAGAAGGGCGTGTTGCACGCACGATGTGAAAACTCATGGTGTCTTTTTTCGACCTGGACACTGCAGATGTGTCGATCTGCAGATGTCTGCAGATGTCTGCCAGGGGGGGGTGTCTTAGTCACTCGAAATTGCTTCGCGCAGGTCGAGAGTTCGGGTTGGTGAAGGTTCGGATCCGAATGAACTGCCGGTGTTGCACGGCGTGACGAGTGTTTCATCCATACAACGGAGACAACGGCCATGGCCGCTGTTGCCCACACCTAGTACGCGTGGTCCCCCATAGAATTCGAGCTATATAACCGAACCAGCTTCTGGAGGTCTGGGGGTCTCTACCCAGCTCAGGCAGGAGACTGTGGAGCACTTCGTGCTGTGTTTATCAAAGCATGCGGAGGTCAGGGAGCTGAAGACGTCCGCGGCCTATTGGGCGCCGCGGCCTATTGAGCGAGCGAGCGAGCGATAGTGACCGGGGGTGCTGGTTGTGGTGCTTGAGGGGAGACATCTCTGGCCTAGCTTCAGAATTCTTTGGCCTGGCCCTGAACAGCTTCACAATGCTTCACCTGGGTGTTCTTATTGAAACACTCCAATGCATTGGAACCATTTGGAAGTGTGACCAGTACTTGGGGACTACACAAACGATTCGATGCATGTCCGTCGTCCTGTTACATCCAACAGTATCCAGCAGCGGTACTGCGCAAAAAGCAGTGTTCTTGAAATGAACACGAGGCGGTGAATGAAAAGAACATAAATTCGATGCATGGACCATTTGTTTGGAGCCATCTGCTGCACATCACTGCCATGGGCTCTCTATTTTTTGGGAGTCAACGGCGCTGTGTTGAGCGAAAGTGACGTGATGGTCATGTGGTCATGTCTGTCATCAGCCGGCCTACACCATTGCGTGGCGAAGCTAAATCCACCAACCATGGCATCCAAGAGCTTTACTCTTCTTTGGGCCTAGGTTGGGGGAAGAGGTCTTGTCTCAGCACTTGGAGATGCATTCCTTCTGATTTCCTCAGCTTTACATAGGGCTGAATTCCTTGGAAAAGCCTTGGGAGGACCTCTTTTCACCAGGAAAAGGAGCTCCATACCAAGTTCCCAAGCATTTCGGAGGAAGGGGTGCAGTCCCAACCGTCAATGGTGTTGGTGGTAGGTCAGCAGTTGGCCGGCAGTTGTGAGTAGCAGCTGCACAGGTTTGCGCCTATGCCAATAATCAGCACGAGCTGGGCAATGATTTACGCTTCAACCCCAAAGAGACCTCCTTCTTCCGTGCCATGCAAATCTCTGAAGGACGGGTTGGACTGTGGCCACGCAGGGTGGGTTAAACAGGCAGCTCCTTTTTACTGGTCCTGCTTGCTGACCCTTATCAGCTGATCAGTACAGAGGGCGCAGATGACTTGCTCTCAATCATATCATTGCAAAATTATCCAACATTTGTGGGAGTGATATTTTTCCTCAGGTCGAGAAGAATTGCATAGATTGCCATGTCGTTTGAATAAATGTTATAGAATGGCGATGCCCACTTTATGAGGTATCCCCCTCTCTGTTGAGGGGAATGCGAAAAGCTGGTTTGAGGGGTTGAGCCAGGTGCATTTGAGATACTCCGCAAAAACTATTAATTTCCTTCGCACCCCCCGGAAGGGGAACACTACACCTCACCTATCAACTATGTACTTGCTAGCAGCTTAGATTATGCATTTTTTGTTCCAAACTTATGACATCTACTATGACCAGGTTGGATCAGACCCTCTTTTCTGAACTCAGTCTTCTTTACTCAATCCTCCACATTAGTGGCATCACTTCCCCAGCCTTTTCCTAATTCCAGTCAGGTTCTACTGTGGAGGGTCTTCCTATTTCAAACCACTCTCATATCAATTGGACTTTAAATCACCTCAAAATCCTGCAAGCCAAACCACTCCAGTCAGTGAAACAGTGGCTGCGGTGTTGGAGTGGGGGCAGAAAGTGGAGGTTGTCACTCATCCAAAACCAAGTTCTTACATGGTATCTCATCTATAGTGACTCCGAAATACAGTAGATAAAGACATGACTCTCTCTTCAAAAAGCCCATAAGAGTGGGTTTTGGCGTTTTTGCACGGCATGAGGGCTGCTCCTCATTCTGGATCCCGACGCCACACCCTTCAGCCGTCCCTTGGAACTAACACAGCGACAAGAATCATGGAAACCAAAATGTGAGAGAGGCGAAAGGTATTAGTAGGCAAACTCTTTGTTTTAAGGGGAGTATACCCCCACTCTCCCCCAAGAATAGTTTGGGTATCCACCTTCAAAAAAATGTAACGATCAAAGTCTAACATCGGCACACAATAGGATTCAACCAGCTTCTTTGAAGAATATTAGGACTGCAAGCTTGGACCTGTCAAGTATGGAACATGACTCGGATGGTGCACACGTACACCCTGTCAAGGTAAAGGATCAGCATGGCTCCGAAGAAAGGGGATTCAGGTGTTTGCTTTTGCCGTGCTTTTCCCCTTGCTACATCTCTTTTCGGACCCCCGTGGGCAACGTTTTGACTACATGAGACCCGAAGCGACGTCTGTGGCCGGTCAGTAGTTGGAGGTCAGTATGTCCTAAAGGTTTAATTGCTACCAATGTCACCTCTCCCCGAAGCACCAAAAGTCGATCTTTTTCAGATTCGAAACCACGTAACCGAAGCACCTCGAGATTTGTTGAACATGATGTCAGAAATGGTGGAACTCCACTGACTGGAACGTTCGGATGTGAGCCTTCACCTGCATTTCGGTCCGGTTTGTTTTCGAGGTCTGCTGGGTGGATCCCCGGTTTGGGCGATGTTTGGATCCGTGAGGAGTCGCCCTGAGTTTGGAGTTTGGAGTTTGTCGCCCAAGGTACTTGGTGCTGCTTTGAGCTTTCGATGGCCATGACCGAGACTCAGCTCTTGCTGGACATCGCCAGCGTTGCGAAAGCAACATCGCAGGTGTGACGGGCCTCCAAGCAACCCTTGACCCATCCGGAGCTCAGGGTCACTCCCTCTGGACTCAGGGTTATCACCAAGTAGCCAGACTATTGGTCAGTCATACTATCATTACATCATATCTGGTGCTTGCTTAGCATATGTGGCAAACCTTGGAACTACCAGCAAAGTTCCAAGTATCTACTCCAGTCGACAACAAGGGCGTTGGGGTGATCCTCCGCAGGCAGAGCTCCTGACTGATGGGCTGACGGCGAGGGAGTTACACAACGAGAACTGCGTTTGCGCGGGCCTGGGGGGGAAGGAGACCTGACATGAATTTCTGGGATTAAATCCAAAACTAGTAACAAGTACGCTACTAGGAGCAAGAAGCTATTAGGTGGAGGCCTTCGCAAGTAGGTTGGAGGCCATCGCTACTAGAAACAAGAACCTACTACTAGTAGCAAAGGGCATTTCTACTCGGAGCAAGGACGCTACTAGTTGGAGGCCATCGCTATTAGGTTGGAGGCCATTACTACTAGTAACAAGAAGCTGCTAGTAACAAAGGGCAAGACCTGACATGAAGTCCTGGGATTATATCCAAAACATGTGCCCAGCCATAGAAAACGTACTTGAGGTCCCGAGTATTTCCCATGGGTTTTAAACTTCGACATTCATGAGAACCCCAGACCTGGCCAGGGTCCAGACATGTACCTCTTAAACATGTTCCCCTTTCAAGCAGAACGAAAGGGGCTGGGGTTCTTTTTTGCCACTTGGGTATCCCTTTCTGGCCTTTTCTGGATATATATATATATAAACAAATGCTTGGCTCCAAGGTTGCCTCCACTGACATCACAGTTCCCAATCAAAAATGAGAACAGACATACAAACACAGCTTTCAGGCGCAAATCACGACAACCACCACCAGAAGAACAGCCAAAATGACCTTGCGACATGAGTTGTCATCAAATAAGAGTTCCCTTGTTAGAACTCCACACGTTTACCTGAACCGACCACCGCACTCCCAAGAAAGCGGATCCGCTGAGAGGATGCAGTGGGTGTTGAAACAAAGCAATGAGGATCCAAGACAAGTCCCCCTTTGCAGCGAAAAGCCGGGCAAGCACCAGCTTAATTTGGAGACCATCTACAAGGGTGTTGACTGACTTGGACACGTGGATTGTGGACGTCCACGACCAAGCTGTCAGGAAAAGGCCAGACGTGAGGAGAACTTCCCCATTGAACTGGTACAGAAAGCTTTGGGCATCGACATTGTGGAAGCCAAAGCGTCTCGAGCTGTGGACAAGCTGAGAATTCTGAATTGTATCCAGGCACAGTTGCTCCTCGCTTTGTGCTTTGCCAATCCTGACAAGACCCCAGCAGAAATGCTTCAGGAGTCTTGGTTTGTGCTGGATAGATGCCCTGCAACCTCCAAAGACATGGTGGGCATGATCCCAATGGTTCCTCGTTTAGCTTCATCCTCAGTTGGTTTGGAATCCACTTCCTCAAGGGCTTGATGTCCGCAGAGAGATAGCATCAAATTTAGGCGACATAGATCAACCTTCACCGGCAGTCCCAACCAATCAATCTAAGCAGAATATATCAACATCATTGTCATGTTCGGGGTGTCTTCTAGCTTTGTCCATAGGGACTACAAAAGGTTTCGCGCCTGAACGCTCCTGGCTTGCTACTAGGTATTGCTGGCTTGCCTGAAGAGCAATTGGATGCCGAGCTGCCTGTACCGCTGCCTCCGGAGAGGAGATTTTGTGATCTCCTGCACAAATCACAGATCATCATTTTGTGACTCCTGACTACTACAGGCTGTAGTCGATACGATCAGATGATTTTATAGCATGATGATTATTGATGTGATCGTTTGATCAGAGTTCTTGAAAATCCTTCGTCTAGGACCTAGGAGTCTGGAATTAACCAAGCGGCAACATGTGACATGATGTTTGTGCATTTGCTCCATCTGAGAGAGGCGTTGGATCAAGTCCAATTCGGCCGCGATAGATTGGGAGTCAGGTCATGCGTAACAACGCATTAGGACCAGCTGTGGCATTCGTCCGGAAGGCTTCAGGTGGAGTAGATGCCTTCTGGACTAAGGCAATCAATCGGCACGATCTGGTGAGAATCACTGGACTTTGACCAACTGCGCTTCCAACAACTGAACGTAGAACAATCAGCAGCTCGGTTTGCCACAAGTGGTTCAATTAAATAGACAGCACCCCAGTGGATCTTTGGAATGGACGACCGCATCCAAACAATGGACTATATAACTATATAACTGCACCTTTCTATTATGATCAGCTCTCCAACTTGGAACCCAGCTCACTAATTGTTGTCTCATGGAGGAACCTGTTTTTTTGTTAGGTTTTTGTTTTCAAGTTGAGTGCTTGTCGGGAGTCTACCTGAAAAATGGTGATCCGTGGTGATTAACATCTTCGGGGGTCCACGAGGGATCCGTCAGACGGTACCGCTGCGGGTCGGCAGTTGTTGTCTCATGCGGTACCCGCTTTCGGATGGGTGCTTGGTCGCAAGGATTGAGGGTGGCTGGATCCGAACTCTGAGGTTCACTCCCTACGTTCGTCGCACCAGTCAGGCGAGCTTAGAGTGCACCAGACCATGTCAGATCCACCCGCTGGGCAGACCGTCCTTCACCGATGCGGTCCGGTCGACGGTGCACGCGACGTCGAAGCACCGCGCGAAGCCTGAACTTGCGCAGGATGGTGTGCTATGCGCAAGTGAACCGTGCGCTGCGGGCGATCTTTGCATTGGCCAGTGTGAGCCAGGCAAAGCTGTCCAAGGGAAGATCAACATACTGGTAGATACTGGTAGAGCCTGTACGACCCATCAAACAACTTGTTTGTTTCCTGTTTGACGGCTCCCCATGACCTCCACCAATTAGTTTTTTTTGTAGATTCGAAGTTGAACTTCTGTGGAAATCTTCGTTACTTGGCATCAGCGGTGGCGACACAGAGAGGTCACAGCGACTGTTGATGGACTTGCATTTTTCTGCACCTGGGATCATCCGAATAGCATCGATATCTTCAAATCTCGGTGGCGTCTTGTTTAGTCTTGTTTTATCAACAAGGTCCCTTTTCCCAAGGAGATGGAAGTGATTCCAACTGAATCAACAGCAATTACTCTAGATGTTTCCGGAGCAAATTCCTGGGATGATCCACCCATACCGATACCGTTTTCCCGAATTCGTCGAGTTGATCTATGTAGAGTCTATAGTCTACAGAGTCACCGGAAAGATGTGGAGTCACTGGAGATATCTCCTATGACCATATATAGATAGAGGTAGGGGGTGTCCCACAGTTTTAAACAAGTCTCAGTATTTTAGAGAAAGGCTTTTGCTAACCATCATCATGCGCTGTTGCAGGGAATAGGATGATATACCCAATAGAGGTTGAACATCCTCACGTTGGACTATGACAGGTTGGCGCTCTGTGTACATCTCATGACTTGTCATCTCTCGTTCCATGTAGGAGCAAGTCGCCAGGTCGTCTCGAAGGATCTACTGGAGCTCATGCCAGCCATTTGCAGGCATCAGTGATAACCGGGTTTGTGGCCACAAATACCAGGGTGAGGAGGATTTGATCCGAAGGCGGCATGGAAAGGACATAGAAAGGCGGCATTTGGTCAAACAAAAGGATGCTTGTTTCATGACTTTCATGAGGAAGGTGTGGACTGAATGTAGCACTGGAGCACCTGCACAAATCCCTATGGTCCTTTGCCATTTGCAAGGATCCTGTGGCTTGTGTGAGAATTCGTTGCAGTGAAGCGGTGTGGAGAGTTGTTCATGTTTGACATCTTTTTTTGGAGAGAAGCAACATCATGATCAGCCCAGAGAGTGTTGGAGGCCATCGCTAGTAGGTTGGAGGCCATCGCTACTTGAGACAGGGAAACACGAAAGGTAGAGAGTAGAGAGCCAAGTGTTTGATCATCCCAATTCCATCCAATTCCAACTTTCTCATAGACTTGACCCATAGACGCAAATCACGAGCATCTATGGGTTCATCCTTGAAGGCTTTTTTCTATGTGTGTGTGTGTGGGTCGATGTTCCGTAGCAATCTGCATGTTCCAAGCGTTCCGTTTGAATATATATATAAGATATATTACTACTATTATTATTGTTACTATATTATCATATATTAATAAATGGTTACGTGATGGTTTCGGCCGCGCGCTTTAGCAATTTTCCCAGACAGCCAGACAGCAGCTCATAGTTTCTACAAAGACAAAGAACGTTTCAGTTGTGCAAGTTCATCCTTCAGACGTTTGAGCTGCTGATGCCAGACACCTGCTTCTCTGACAATGATCCAAGATGGGTAGTCAAAGCTCCACATGCACAGGCAATCAAAGAAATTCAAGAAATTCTTCGTCTTGACGCCTTCAAGAACAGTTCCTGATGTCAAAGACCGCGAGGTGCCGGCGCAATCGTCACAAGCTCGACTGCGGGAGATCCAATCCCAGGATTGTCGGTCTGCACCTAGCCGAAGGCGTAAATGAAAGGCACCACCACACGTTTCACACGTGTACTCTTCGGACAAAAGCTTTGAATGCATAGCAAGTAAGATGCCTTTCAAGGACGAGTTGTCCGGGTATGGATCAGTCGACTGAAGAGAAGCCCACTTGACACTCTGCAGAAAATCAGTTCTTGACCGAATGCAGCGCAAAGACAATTTCTTCTGAAAGTCAGCCATGTTCTTGTAGGTCGCCATGAAGAGACGAAGAGTAAGCAATGAAGCCAGATGTTGGTGAAACCAGATGTTGGAATAAACAATGAAGCCAGGTGTCAGATGTTGAAGTAAGCAATGAAAGTATGTATGTTGAAGTAACATGTAAATGCTTCAAAAGTGGAGGTCCGAAATCATCCCCTAGCCTAATAAGGATATATACAACCGGTATATATATATATACTGACGGACTGGAACTTAGAATGTATGCGCCGTTTCCAAAATTTTGGCATCGAGAGTTAGCAGCTCTTGGACCCGGGTGGCCGAGACCCAAAGTTTGAATGTGGTTTTAGAACATTCCTTCGATTCCTTTAATGTTCCCTTCACTTTGCATTCATTTTTCTGGTCTTCATGTGTCGCTGAACCATGAAAAGACGCATTCTAAAGGGGTTTTTGCACATTCTAACACTGACTGTTAGAATGTAGTGTTTGCCGGTCCGGAAAGTGGGGTCATTCGGCATCGGCCGTTTCCAAAAGCACATTCTATCTTCCAGTCCGTCGGTATATATACATCCGAGTTGGATATCCCCACAGGCCTCACAACTGTTTCATCATCATTACGCCAGGGCATTGCAGGAGGACACGGCCCGCAAAAGCCTCCACCTCTCCTTTGCAAACAGCCTGAAGTTCAAGGACATGTACGCAGCTGTCCCTGATGAACGATATATACTTTGTTTCAATTCGTTTCCCTTCGTTTCTGTGATTTCAAGTCTTGGAAGTTCAGTCTTTTCGTGCAAGTTCACATGTTGATCTTGTTCGTTGAGAATCCGGTTTCTCTCCAAATTCTCAGATTCCAGCTCTGAAGTTCCAGGACTCGGATTTGATTTCCTTGGCCAAAGCACTGCCCCGAGGCCGGCCCGGAAGGGCCAGGGTCCGGGGTCGGGGTCGCGAGGGGATGCACATGGCAGGGTGCAGGTCTTGGGCATGACCTGGTTTCAAATTGTTTCTCGTTTTGGATGCATGATAAATGTATGTTTAATAGGTGTTACAACATATAAGTCATAGTCATAGTCATCATTCACTCATTTGTTTTGGAGTCACTCCCATGTGGTTCTGATGAACCAACTACTCTGCTGCCTTAGACAGCCCACCCGCAGGTTTAACAGACCTGCTGCGCCTGGATTTGCGCTCCTGCCATGGCCTGTTTGATGCATCCGTCCTGGAGCTGGGCAAGGCCATTGCTGAGATGACACAGCTGAAGGCGCCGTTCTCCGGGACGCCGACGCGACGTTGCACACCGGGCATTCCACGACGCTCTCTGATTTGATCGGATGGATGTGAGAAAGTCCTCGTTGGGAATACATAGACTCTTGGATTAATATATATATATATTGTTCAATCCAAATCAGGGGGGTTATTAAGAGTTTACATTTCAGATGGACAAGATCCATGAGTGTTCCACCGTTTGGAGTGCGAAAATGACTGGGGAATGGTGGACATGAAGTGAACCATATCCATTGTAATTGGCTGATTCCATCAGAATCCGATCGGTCGTTTTGGGTTGAACTGAGTCTTCGCAACGCAGCAGATAGGGAAGCAAACATTCTGGTGAGGCCTTGTTCTTGGACTTCTACATGTGCGTGCACTTGGCCGCAATCTGGGAGAAGGATGGAGAAGGTTTCGATTCCATCTTGAATTTTAGGTCATGGGTTCCTGTGTGATTTTCCCAGGGCCCCGGTGCTACCTGACTGTCGTCATGAACCAAAAGCTTCCGTTGATGTGTTTAGCTGTTCTTTTCTTCTGTGGCAGACCGGAGACCTAGGTTTGCTTGACCGACGTGTCATTGGGCCCGCTCTTCGCGGGAGTGCAGCAGCATAGCTTGATGCGGGAGTTAGATGTGATCCTTGGATGTCGGACACATTCCGTTTGCCAGACCAGGGGTGTTGACAATGCAAATGGTCGGATTTCTGACCCAGAATATGGAGCAGAATATGGAGCTTTGCTAAGGTTGGCGATGTCAAGCTACCGTGCGTGTATTGAGCCACATAAATTTTGGTCTTACACTGTAGTGGTGGTTGGTGCATGGGCCCCTAACGGAAATGACATAATTCCCTCTTCTTTCAGGAGGCGCAAGGTGACAGAACCAGGGTGCAAGATGGCGACGGCAATGACCTTGTTGGTAGATTCGGATAAAGTAATTCAGCAAGATATATAGACCAAATGAACTCAAGTGACACTTCGCAAAACGGCGCAGCCCGCCATATTTTCCGTATGCCATATGATGTGGTGGGGAGTTTTCTCCTGTCTTTTGACCTCGTTTTCCCAACCAATTCTGGAGAGGATTTCACGTATCAACCCTCCCAGCCTTCGATTGTTGGGCAAGTTGACTCTGAAGATGTTCACAGGGTAAGTTAGTGTTGAATGAGTGAGTCCACCGAATGTTCCCTTGCAGCTTCTTTTGTGCAGCTTGCAGCGACATGAACTGTGTGAGCGCTCAGAAAGACTACATCGCAAAGCTTGCCTTTCGAATGTCTGTCTTCAGACTCGGCATCCCAAAGTTCCAGACTCTTTTTGTACCAGGGTCACCCAACTCCCTCGGTCATCTGCCAGGCCACCGACGTCACCGACGTCACCGGTCTCTTGGGTCGCCGTCGCCACCGTCTGTTTCGGCGATGTGTCGCTGGCAGCCGAGGAATCTCAGGGGCTTAATCAAGGTCACCGAACGCTCGGTGACTCCCTTGCTTTCTGCCTGGAGTCACCCGGTTTGTGCAACACACTGACATGAGGGAAAAACCGACATACGCGACATACGCTCCGGTGGGACGGGGAGAAGGAGAAGGGACCAGGATGAAGGGGGGGTATGAGGCGGATCTGACAAGAAATTCAGGTGCTTTTTGGGTAAGTCGACTGGGAAACTGACAATACCAGTCTCCTTTAATTTGTTTTCGGTCTCGGAAATCTCCTACACAGGTCCATGAAGCGCCAGCTAGTGGATGAAGACTCACAAGAAGCCACAGGCAAAGCTGAAGCAAGATGTGGATTTCGTAGGGATCAAAAACGCATGCAAGAGAGAATCCATGACTCAAACGATTCATCGAAGACACTATAGTGTCTACCTCGATGTACTTGATCTCTGCAGTCATCAGTCCCCCAGTCGTAGAGATGCCCTTGTCCCTCAGGTTCCATGCCCCACTTGCGCAAGCTGCACCTGAACCTCACGCAGACGCGTGTGTCGAGTGACTCAGCCAGCGAGCTGTGCGAGTCCTTGAAAGAGCTGAGAGAGTTGGAGATCCTCAAGCTGTATTTCACTGATTGCGCTTCTGTAGGACTGCAATTTCGAGGGATATTTGTGTTTGTGCAAAAAAGACATGCAGGCAAAAGTAAGCTGAGATGTCCAAAGAAAGAATGAGGAACAGAGAGGAACAGGTGTAAGTAGACACTGACATTGTCTGACCATCATTACAATTCATTACATCATCACACATCACTCCCTATGATCAACTTGTGCACGCATCGCTCCCGCCGAAGAAAGCTTGCTCCTGTCTCTTTGCCTTTTCTCGCAGGAGATGCAGCTGCCAGCTCGTTAGGCCGCAGCTTTGAGGCTTTGCCCCTCGCTGAGTCCATCATTTGCTTCTCCGGGACCCAGCTGAGCGACACAGGCGGGCCATTTGGCAGAGTGAATTGGTTTTGGAGCTCCTGAAGGATCAGCTAGTCGGGACTACAACCATCTACAACCGAAAGCCAAAGTGTTTAGTATGTTTAGTCGGGAGCTTAGAACTTGGGGCCCCAATCATGAGGTTGTTCACATCTTCCAGGCAACATAGCCCAACTATTCCACTTAAACAATCTTAAACATATAGAAGATGTGTTTTCACCAGCTGCTTCAAACCATCTCAGCATCAAAGTCAAGTTGCGAGGCATGACATCCCTTTGCTCGGGCCTGACAACTTTGCTGTCCATGACGCGGCTCACGCTGCGCTTCCGCCACTGTGGAAGGCGCTTGTCGCCTGCGTCGCTGTGGGCCACTGGGTGAAAAATCAAGTTCATGTAGATGGTATAGCATATTAGACGATTAATTTTCATGAAAATCATACAGCGTATCTTTTGAATCATGTTACGTTCATGTGCCACACACTCCGAAATCACTGTTGTCTTTCACAGCAGCTTGGCAGCTTTGAACCAGTGGAGAGCAGTTCAACCCTTCCATCCTCTACGGCTTTGAACGAGAGGTCCATGTGGTGGGTCGCTTCGGGCGTTGTCGCACGCGTCTTCTAAGTCCTGGGTCGCCTGTTTGGACCGAGGACTTAGGGGAGTCATTGGCTTCCTTGGTCCGTTTGGAGAAGTTGGTGGTGGATTTCGGGAAGTGTCAAGGGATACCACGCCACGTGGCCAAGCGCTATGCGGGCAACAGGACGCCTGAGAACGCCGAACGCCGACATCGAGGATGGTTGAGCTCTCGTGTTGGGATGAACAGGGACCGACAGGGACGCTGTCTTTGAGGCTGCAAGAGCCTCCAGATGGGTTGTTCGAGCCTCTGATCAACCCAGCATCAAACGCACTTGTTCGTCGACGAAGTCGTTCGGCTTGTCGTGGGGCAGGCAGGCAGAGGCTCGGTTCGGCTGGCACTTGAAGATCCCGTCAACACCGTTGACCTCTGTTGACCTCTGTTGACCAAGCGATGCCGTCATCTCAGAGGGTCATGTCTCAGAGGATTCCTACTCGTCAAGGTGTGCAGATGAGGTCAATCATTGCAAAAGTGGGTAGAAGATTGTGGCCTATATGTGCTCGCTAGGCTATACTTGTAGTGATATAGCATGATATAGCATGATATAGTATGTATTAGTCTGGCAAAGATCCCTATGGACCATCATCAGCAACCAGTACAGCAGAGAGACACAGAGAGACTGCCTTTTCTGAGTGCCACAAAACACAGAGAGCAATCGGAAAAGAAGTACCTTTAATAGCCATATCTGGACGTCTGATTAAATTCCATGAAGTTTCTTCAAGGGTGGCATTGGGTGTTTTCGTGTTTCCGACATTCTTAGCTCCACACAGGTGAAACACGCCACGGCCAGGAGCTTTGTCCTCAGCCATTCCGTCTTCCAGCGACACTCCGAGTCGGCCTCTCCCAGCTCGGCGTCGCCGACCTCTCCGGGATCGGACATCTCAGAGGTGCCAGATCCACAGGCGTGATGGGGGAACGCTTGCTGAACCGCGACGTTTGGATTTGGTGGGATTCGGTGGGTGAGGTTGTACGACATGTTGATGCAATTGAGTCTTCGGTGCAGGCAGGCTCAAATGACTTCAAATGACATATGCAAGACTTGGGTATTGCATGGAAGTGCCAGTGGAGGCCAAACTACTGACAAGAACCACCAACCTCTCTCCATCACCATCCCTCCTCCACCTCACCCAAATCATGCACTGGAGTCACTGAACTTACTAGTGTGAATTTCAGCTGTTGTAGCCAGGGTGTATTGCGTACAGTTGATGCACCGTCGCTGCTGTTTCGGCTGAACAGGGCCCTTGAGCTGATTCGCTGCTGCGAAAAGGAACTGTGCGAGATTCAAACTGGTAGCGGAGCAGGTTCTGAAGGGGCACCCTCAGGATCTGACTCACCCGGGGAGACTCGCTGGATCCGAAACCGTTGAACCCAATTGCGTGACCCTGCGCGCAATCCGTCGAACCGTTGTAATTCCAGTGCTTTGCGAAACTTGTTGAGTTGCGATGTCGCTGGCTGGCCTGCGGTACACATCCCATGGAGGAAGTATCTCAGGACCACAGGAGACGAAGAGCGGATCATACATCTACAGTGGCAATCCAAATGGTTTCTTCGAATGGGAATTTCGCACCAAGGTCCGCGTTGCTTTGCACAAGCAGAAACATGCGAAGAAGAAGTCAGAGAAGACCTATTCGAGTCCTGGAAGCCAATCAGCCACACCAGAACGTTCTCAGAGGAGGCCGACTCATGCGACCGAAGCTGGGGATGTATCAGAGGATGACGAGGCACGATTTGAAGCTTTTGGAACCCCGAAGTCCGAGAGCGTAGCAGGAGAGGAAGAACCAGCTCTGAGCACTGCCGGACTGGATGATGATGGAGCAGAGTATGCAACACTTGTTCACAAGGTGTTGGAAGGTCTGAGAGGTGATGCATACCTCACAGCTCAAGACATGGGATTGGAGAAGTTGTTGACTCCAACTGGCATTGATGAGTTGATATCGCGTATCCGTGCACAAGTCTTTCCACTTCGACAACAAGAAGCACGAGAGTTGTTCAGAGTGGGTCAACTCCCACATGGTCCCTTGTCTCGCCAAACGACAGAAAGCATGACTAGCTACATTTCACGGAGACGTCGTTGGTGGAGGAAGCTTTTGGAGATGGATGATGGGGTAAGTCTTTCAGACCCCATGCGTGGTGAGCTACTTCTGGAAGGTTCTGGCTTGAGCAAGACAGAACAGCTCATGATCAAAACAGCTGCAGGCGACAACCAATCCTTTGACGTCTACGCCAAGTTCTTGCTTGAATTCCATGGACAGATTCACTTGCGCAGCTGGTCCGCTTTTGGTAATACAAGCCCTCGGAGGCAGAAAGGCGGAGGCAAGTTTTCAGGCAAGTCTTCCTACAAAGGAGGAAAAGGGCGCAGTTGGCAAAGATCTGCGTACATTGTTGAAGATGATTCTTGGGACTATGAAGATTCCTATGAGGCAGAAGCAGAGGAAGACTATGAGCATGAAGCTTATGTCGCAGCAGAAGATGAAGAACCAGATGATGAAGAACATGAAGACTATATCGAAGACCCTGAAGTTGCCACAGCGTTGATGGCAATGGGAGAATGTGATGATGAAGAAAACGATGTTTCAGAGGAACTGGGCAGCGCAGCCCAGCATCAAATGATGGCCTTTGTCGTGACTGACCAGTTGAAGGGCAAGAGCAAAGGCAAAGGTAAAGGTTCAGGAAAGAAAGGTGGAAAGAGCAAGGGGAAAGGCAAGTATGTGTTCAGGACACAGTTGAGCGTGCAAGACAGGATTGCACGTCTAGCGAAGTTGAAGTCGGTGTCCAAATGCTTGCGTTGTGGAGGAAAAGGACATTGGGCAGGAGACCCAGCTTGCAAGTTCCCCAAGCAGAACGACAAGTCCCCTGGAGGAACGTCGTCGACAAGTAAAGCCACAGCCTATTTTGCATTGAGTGATGATGAGTCTTCTGTTGAAGGTGAATACATGTGTGTTGATGTCAGTGGCCAAACTGTCGAAAATGGTACGTGCTACATGGCATACAAGATGTCCCCAAAGAAGAAGCTTGAGTTCGAACCGTCAGACCGTGCATCCATGTCGTCAGGAGTGACCAGCAGTCCACCGTCTAGCTTCTCGATGGTCGAGCCAAATGTCCGTCGGTCACCGCAGAAGTCCCCACCGGTCACGCGTAGGAAGAAGGACATGGAGCAAGACTTGTTGCCTGAAGGTTCACAGAATGTCTTCGTGTTTGGTCAGCACCAAGGTTTGACATATCATGAAGTGTTGTTCAAATACCCTGGATACTATCAATGGGGATCAGGCATTTCGCACCCTTCGCGTTGTTTGGCAGATTTTCTGAACTGGGTGACCACGTACTACGAAGTCAGTCAAGACGGAGACGTAAGCCTGAGAGAGCATCCATTGACAGATGTGCCAGTAGAGGCAATTCGACGTACTGGAGACAAGAGTGCCAAGGGGAAACCACCAAACCCCCCGCTAGAGGAATCATGTCGTCGTTGCACCAGATTCACATTTCAAGGTTCAAATGCCTATGTTGAGAACAAGACATGCCTTGACTGCGGAAAGAATGAAAGAAAGAAGAAAGAAAGCAAACCTTCGGCCGATCCCGCAAAGTGCAAGCATGAGGTCACAGATCGTCGAGGCAGTTCGAAAACCACGTCTCGTTGGTACTGCAAGTTGTGTGGAACCACTGTCGACGAGATGCCCCGAGAAGAGGCGCGTAAGAGAGAGGCAATGGCAAAGAGTATGGTAGGCATGCGCACCAATGCATTCGACACGACAGCATCCATGATTGAGAATGAATCAACGATGCATGCATGTCAGCTGAAGGAACTCTAGAGGTTTTGGAGATGTTTCGACAAGAGGTTGAGTGTGAGTTAGAATTTGGAGAACCCGTGAGGGTTGGCGTCCTGTTCGAGATCCTTGCCAATGCCGTGGAGGTCATCAGAGAGGCCGCACCGGAAACTTGCTACATGGGACTGTTGTCGGATCTCAACGAAGCCACAATTGAAAACACACTTCGTCTTGTTGACATCATGGAAGACCCTGGAGTCTGGGCTGTGTTGGATGAAGAATGTAATGCAACTGTGTGTGGACAGGCATGGATCCAAAACGCCAAAGACAAATATGCACGTCTTGGGTATGATGTAGCTGATTTGCAGTGTGACTCAAAAGCTTTCCGAGGACTCGCCGGAGACACCAAAACTTTGGGCAAGTGTCGAATTCCATTTGCTTTGACCTTTTTGGACCCCGAGACGAAACTTCCGGGAGTCATGGAAACGCATGTTGTTGACGGGAAGATTCCATTGCTTTTGTCACAGCATGCTCAAGCTGCATTGCATTTCACGAAATCTATGGGTGATGCCAAGTGCTATGTAGGAAATGCAGAACTTGAACTGTGCAGAGCTAGGAACTCAGGACTTCTATGTGTGAACCTCTCAGAAGGTCTCAAGAGCCTAAAGTCCAAGAGACTCCCAAAGCAACTTCGAGAACTAAAGAACACGGATTATGGCATGAGCTTCAACATTCGTCCATCAGATCAGTTGACTGCGTTCATGGCTGACGAAGAGCGCCCGACTAGAGGCACTTTCACGCTGGATGACCCTGCTTGTGTGCATGTCTTGACGCGCGGAAAGGAGTTCAATGGCCAGATTGCGAGCTTTGATCGCAGCAAGAGCTTGATTACATTGGGACCCATCTTGGCACAATTTGACCCCGGGAGGCGATTGTTGATCTTTGACTGCATGGGATTTGGAGATCCTCAACACGATCCGCAGTTGCGATCTCACGTCGGAACACATCCGGAAATCATTCGAGGGATGACTGGCAGCGAGAAGACGATGGAAGCATTGCTATATGGACTTCATCACCTGAAGGCATGCCATGAAAGGGGACAACAGCTGGCTGTCATAGCCTACTGCAGGCGGAACAGACGCAGATCTGTATCCTTTGGTTGGTTGTTGGCAACGGCATTCAGCAAGCTATGCCCGAGAGCTCACTTGACCTTGACGCATTCCAACCAGGATCATTCCTGGAGCCAGATGAGCGGCGCATGCAAGGGCAAATGTGCGATGTGCACGCATGAGTCGCATGATGCTTTGGAAGCAGCCTTGAGGTCAAGGGACTATGTTTTGAGGCAGTTCGGGTTGAAGGCGACTCCAACATACAGTCATGTTGGCCTGGTGGTATACGATTCAGAAGTGGAATCCCGAGAGAGCGATCGAAGATCCCAGGCACCAGTCGGGTCCAGAGTACTACCGCCGCCGCCATGTCCGAAAAGACCACCAGTCCTCCGACCAGCGGTGGTAAAGGCGGCGAGTGTTGCGAAGGCGCCAGTCCCCGTGCCAAAAGGGACACACACCATGTCCCATAGAGGACCAGGATCCGTGAGGGCAGCGTCACCAGACCCACAACTCGCTGCAGCAACACCCAAGGCACCAGCACCTGAAGCACCAGCAGCCGAGGCACCAGCGCCCGAAGAAGAGAGTCGATACAATGAAGATGCTGAACTTCGTCGCCGTGACAAGGCCGAGACCTCAAGACAGGCAGAACCAAGGGGTGAATCAGTTGCTACAAGTCAGCCTGATGCCGCGACACAGGCCTTGCTACAGACTGTTGAGTTGTTGACACAGCAGGTGAAGCAAATGCAGGAGCGAGAGTATGAGAGGAGACGATCACGTTCAAGAGACAGACGTCGACGAGAGCGATCAGACAGCCGGGACTATCATCGTGGAAGAAGACGTGGCAATAGCAGAGAATACCGACGTGGAAGGAGCAGAAGCCTGTCGAGGAGAAGGTCACCTTCATTTGGTCGCATTCCGACACCTCCAAAGCTGATCCCGAGAGAGCCGGAAGGACCGCCACCCAGATGGCATTACTATGGATCAGGTCGTGGAACCAGTCGAGACTCAGAACAGTCAGCTTGGCAAGAACGT